GGAAAAACCGGGTTTCCAAAAAAGAAGAAAACAAGGGGGGGGGGGTTTTTTCCCCGGGGGTTTTAGTTGAATCCCTTGGCCCCGAAATTCCGGGGGGGGCCCCGGTTTTTCCCCCCCCCCCCCCCCCCCCCCCCCCTCGCGCTCCCGCCCAGCTTGGCGAGGCACTGGCACAGGTTGAGAAGCACCGGAAGCTTCGCGGCCGTGAGGCTTTCCCTGTGCTTGTCGCTGAAGTCGAAGTTTATCTGAAGCTCGTCAAAGTCCACGTGGTGCAGCGCTCTGTGTTGTTAGATTCGGTTCGGACGACGGAAGGGCATCGACGGCGGCGGGGGAGGGGGGGCTTCGGTTGGTGCGCGCTCGTTCGTTGCCTTGTGAGGAAAGGTGTGAACTACTCACCACCTCAACGTGCTGCTTCCGACACGACGCATGGGCCGGCCGCGGGGATGGGGGGGCTGGGCCGTTTGCCTACTTGAGTGAGTAGAGGGAGTTGTCCTTGACAGGCGCCGGGACGAGATATGACTCTTGTTGTCGGTTTCATCTCCACACTTTGTTCTTTCATGCTGCAACCCTTCGGAGAAGGAGTATTGAATACACAAGAGCCTTCTCGGGATATTATTCAAAACTACCGGCTAACGAACGACCAACACTCTCTGAGGCGGCTGAGAAAATCCGTGAGTGTACATCCCCGACAACCATCGCCACCTTTCGTATGCCTCCGCAGCGTCCTCCATACAGCCTCTCTTGAACCGTTCGTTCCCCAGCTGCCGCAAACGCCCAGCGGTCTCTAACCTCTCTTCAAAGAGGTACGATTTTTCCTGGAAAACGCGGAATGAGAATTGATAAGATATGATCGTATACCGCGGGCAAGGCGATGGACCTATTATGCCTCGCTCAATCGACGAGGAAACAAGTGCAAAGAGGCACACGGGGACGCGAGGAGTGGGATGGGGCGACACGTGTGACCCTCCACGTGCAACTTCAACCGCACAACAGTTGTAAACGAACTACACATCGTATGTACCTGGTAATTTACCCGTGTGTGCTTGATGAGAAGACTCACGTGCTAGCACCCAGGGCAAACAATTCTATCAATGTCCCTGCTCATCTGTGCCTCGTCGGACGGCACTCTTGAGGATATCGATCAGGCTATCCACAGACAGTCACAATCACTATCAACTCAAATCCAGAGGCACATCGTCTTTTCGTAGTGTTCGAGTTGGATGTTTGTGGACCCCAACCAAGACCTGGTGAGTGCCTGTGCATGTGATAAAACAAGTAGCGAGTCTACCTGCTGTGGACAAAGATTTTTGTGCAACAACTCTGCCGTCCGAGCAAGCAGGTTGTACTTGTCGACTACGGCTGGAGACTGGAGACTATGTACAGCAGTGCAGCTGCTTGTAGATGTTCCACAGATATGCTGACGGAGCACCAAATTCCGGAGGAATGCATGTACATAGTCTTGTTGTCAGGCTCGTATAGTACCTTAGTCAGGAGATCATCCTCAGTCTCGCCCTCCACCACTTGTGAGACAGCGTCAGCCATTTTCAGCCCTGGAGAGAGAGGGAGAGAGAGAGAGAGATCGTGTTGTGGGGTGCGGGAGAGGGAGTTTGGCCCGATCCGCTCGCCAAATCGGTTCGCGAGGCATGTTTTGCCTACTGTAGTTCCGCCGCTTCCTGTACCCAAACCGGCTGCTCCGCCGACCCACCAGCTGCAACATACACGATCGCAATGAGTTCCTCTGCAATCCAGTCGCCGTTCCACCAAGACTGCCTGCGAGGGAAAGTCGCGCTTGTGACTGGTGGCGGCTCCGGGATCGGCTTCCAAATCGCCAGACAGCTAGGTATGGCGTACTCCGGTAGCGGGTTGCACCGCATGTTGGTCTCATGCTTTGTGTCCTGCCGCGTTACTTCCGCGTACACGCGTGCACTGGCCTGTGACCGAAAGGGGATCTTCCTGAAGCTTGAAATGCGCTGTCTGCTGTTGAATTTCTGCGGCGAGCAGAGTTGTCGCATGTGCAAAAGAAGAACAGGCAGGAATACAGTCGAAATTTACCCGCATTACAACATTCAACCTGACTCCGCCGTGCCTGTGACTGAGACTGACTCTGAAACAGCGACGCCGCCTCCTACGAAGAGCCGCGTGCCAAAGCCGGCCACGGAGCTCCTCTGTCGAACGGGTACACTGATCGATCGTACAACCGGCATTTAGAAGGATGGCCTGCATTGCTACATATGGACCAAGGAGCCGCGGCGGTCGTACCCGAGCGCCTGTCCGGCATTACTGACCCTCACACCTGTTTAGTTACCGTACATTTATACACATGATAAGAATGCCAAATATTCATTTTTATGCCGATCGACGCGGTCGGAAAAAAAACAATGATATGACAGGCCATAGACCCCCCCCCCCCCCCCAAGGGGAGACTGGAAACCCGTGAGCACTTTCACAAAATGTAAAATCAAATGTGGGTGCTGAGTACTAAACCTCTTCTTCTGTCCTGCTGCTCCTGTAGGTCTCCATGGGGCGAGCGTGGTCATCATGGGCCGTCGCGAGAAGTTCCTGTCGGAAGCAGTCGACCAGCTTCACGCTGACGGAGTGGCGGCATCGTTCTTCACGGGTGATGTGAGGTGGGCGCCGTTGATATTTCCGCGCCCTCTGCATGTAGCGTATTAATTTGCCGACAACCTCCAAACTTCCGGCGTGCGTCGTCGATTGCGGGATGGCCAAAATCACTTCTTGGTGTATCCCCCTCCATGCTCTGTAACATCCTACAAACAGACAATGTTTTTGTCACATATGGCGAACAAAGCTAACGCAAAAAGTTCGCTTGCACGTTATTGACAAGGTTAATGCTATTTACACCTGCCGATGTGCGTCTTTATTTTCTGTCAACAGGTCAAGAGAAAGTGCCGAGGCCTCGGTGGCATTCACGGTGAAGACCTACGGCCGCATGGACACCCTCGTGAACGGGGCGGCCGGAAACTTCCTCGCCAATGCGCACGAGCTTAAACTCAAGGTTGACTCGGCTTTGCTCGACACCATTCGCCCTACGTCCGCGAACATACCGCCTCTAGATTTCAGAGCAGCCTACCGCTATTAGCAACCCGGAAGCGAAGCGCCACACCACGTTTCAAACCATAGCACCAATGCGCTAAATAGCGACCGGGGGGCGACACGCCAAACCACGTGTCAAACCATTGCATGCCTCAATTATCCCCTCTCACACAGGGCTTCAAGACGGTCATGGAGATCGACACTGTGGGGGTGTTCAACATGAGCTCGGCGGCGTTTCCGGCTTTGCGGGAGTCCGGCGCGGGCGCCATCATCAACATCACCATGACGCTGCACTACGGCGCGACCTGGTTCCAGGCCCACGCGTCTGCCGCGAAGGCCGCGATCGACTCTCTGACAAGGCACGTGCGGCGTGCCCCGGTGGGGTGTCGGATGTTCATAGCGTTCGTTGCATAAGACAACACACCCCCTGATATTCATACCGTCGGATGCGCACGATTCCACCCCCCCTACACCCCCTTGACCGATTTTCAATGCTCGCGTACTCTGCAGCAAACACAGCGACGGTGCCGAAATGGCGTTGTTGGAACGATGTTGTCGAGAGCTTTTCGAAAACGTACCGTTTGTTTTTCGCATCGTCGTCGTCGTGGAGTAATCGAGCTTGAAGAATCGGTCCAGGGGGTGTGGTATCTTATGCAACCTACGGGTACAACTTACATTGGGTTCGTCGTGGTGCCGGTTGGATAGTGCCACTGCCCGGAATAAGTGTCGATGAAAGCGCGTGTCATGGATGGAATGGTCCAGTTGTGCCGTTCTGTTAATAGTGCGGGTCGCGATGAGTTGCGCCGATGTGTCAGGCGGGCGCATGCCGGCACCACTGCGAGCCAAATAATGAATTGTTGCCATGTTGGCCTTGGCGCCTCTCATGGTAAAGTATCGGGACGGATTGCGACAGGCTTTCATTCTAAAAGCAATATTGCATATGCGTGAGGGACAATCCCAGTGCTGAGCATCGTTCGACATTATATCTGTCCAAAATTGCCGTGCGCGTACATTTGCCGGTCGCTTCCACAGTACTATCCCCTTCCCCGCCGGCCTTCCACTTTGTAAAAGCACAGCTCTGCTGTAGTGAAGCACGGGGTCTTTCCAGTCTCCCGTCCCCCCTCAACGCTCCAGCAGTTTGTGCTTCTTCAGTGCTTGCCTTCGTTTTACAAGCACTACCAGTGCACTCTTGCATGCATTCGTGAGCGTAAGAGTAATGGCTTTTCCGAGTTAATATGCAGTACCTCTTTTTGGTTCGACCCCCTCCTGTTTGTCGGCCGCACGCACAGGTCCTTGGCCATGGAATGGGGCTCTTACGGCATTCGGGTCAACGGCATTGCCCCGGGGCCAATCGCCGACACACCGGGAATGGCGAAGCTCAGCGTGGGTCTCGGACGCGATGATGCCAACAAGCATGTGGGTACTGTAGGTATATGTGTCGCTGTCTCGCCCTCTGCCTCGCTTTCTCTCTCTTCCTCAGTGTGTTTTCACCAGTGTGCGTTTTGTTCCAGGATAGACAGACAGACCCAGCCCCTCCTGTCCGGAACGGGCGAACCAAAGTGGTTGCGATGATGATCACTTCTTAGGAGGACGATTTGTATGGTTACTCCAGCAGTTGAATAAGGGGTCTTGACGGGGGTTTTATTTGTTCCCTTTTTCTCGACGACGCCACCTTTGATCAGATTCCCTTGGGGCGCATGGGGACCACTTTCGACATCGGGATGGGCGCCGTTTTCCTCGTGAGCTCGGCGGCGTCGTACGTTTCGGGAGACACACTGGTGAGAGAGTCACTCCTGCTGCCGCCGCTGCTGCTCCTCCGAAACTAGATTCAAAAGGAAATACCGTCGCGTCGCGTGCTGGATTTTAATTCTATCACAAGACCCGCGATTTGATGTGCATATCAATGCAAACGCAGAGGTGTAGTGTGTTGGACTGATCTCGGAACGATCAAAGCCCCCCGCATAACGGGCGCCGATCCCACTCCACGGTTATCCACTGGAACGCATCCTCATGGTGACTTGCAGTGTACTGAATGGGCAAAGGTTGTGATTTAGTGTCCACTAAAAGGTTTTTGTACACCGAAGTTGGTGTTAGTGGTATCCGAAAAACTGATGTCGTCTGTATTACTAGGTGCGTACAAACATCTACACTGTCGTGGGACAAGAATGGCACGCCCCGTCGTCTGGTCGGCACTTTTCGAATCACCGTACTGTAGCAGCAGCTGGCATCCCAGACGATTGCCCTATTTACGTGGGTAGTGGTTGAGCAGCACAGAACGTTGACATGTCCTGTGAATGGAAGCTGGACGAGTGTTCCGTATTCGCTGCTCTACCCACAGAGAGGAAAGCACTGGAAGACAGCAACCCAGACACCACATCGAGATACGGTTCCCCCCTGCTCGTGATTTCTTTTCTTTTCGTGGCCTCTTATTTGCCCGCTCTGAAGGTGGTGGATGGGGCGGAATGGATGTACAAGGAACCCCTGCTGAAGCCCGAGGCCGTGAGCCGCATGTCTCGAGCCGTCGAGCAGCGGAGTAGATCAATGGGACCCACCAGCAAGCTGTGACACCACCTACGAATGCCCGCCCCGATACAGGACCCAGCAGCGGCGCACGAGGCCGCGTTTTTGACTGTTTCGTCATGTTTTCAGTGGCTTCTCTGTCTCTCTCGTGCTTTCCTCCAATGGACGGTTCCTGTGTCTGGTATATCTAGAGCCTTTGGCGACCAAGAGCGGCGCGATCTACGAAACAGCACGCACTGCTGTGGTGTAAGAAGACCCGAAGACAGAAAAGCACTCGCGTTCACTACTGTGCACAGGCGGTAGGGGATCCCAGTGCCGCACAGGGGTGTCGTGCAAGCAACACCACCATGACATTTTCCCTAATCTATATACATCCTGCGTTATCTTACATATTTGTCGACCGGGGTAATTGCGGCGGTTGACGCTTCCCCGTCTACCCGTCAAAGAGTGGCCTCACCGTTCCTGCCCAAATTCCTGCCGACCATGGATATCATGGTCGATCGATGGATGGACTCAGACTTAAACAATCATCTCCATCACCGCTCCCAACTACATCATCCTCGACCACACACATACATACCCTCCCCGGGGAAAAAGGGAAAGGGCTTCAGATGAGGCCGGGGCTACCCCCGGGCTATTATGAGGCACATTTCCTGCACAGTACCCAGACTTCATAGGAGGGTCGTTTATGCACGGTCTGTCTGGAGTGCACGAAGCTGATGTTTGGCTCGTATATTGGCAATGCACCCAGCAAGCTTGAATGCACCGAGATTTATTTGAACTTGGAGATGTCGTGCTAGCCCTCTAGAAGCCCAATGGACTGAAACTTGTTGTGATAGCCTGACCCTGAGCTGGCGTGATTGTATCGGGCATTTCCATATAATGTCTTGGGGATGGTGTATCCAGTGGGTGTATATGCGCAACATGCCAAAAGCGTGCGTTCGGGTCCAAGGCGTGGGCTCTCTCCTGAAATTTGAATTTTGGACACACCATGCTTGTCCCCTGCAAAACGTAATCGCCTCAAACCTTTTGCATTAGGTGGCAATATAACATAGGTATATGGTGGGAGAATAATTAGGCTGCAAGACACCAACCTCGCGCAGAGGTCGGTTCGTGTGTGTGAAGCTCCCCCCCTGATCTTGGAGCTGCTGCAATGATGGTACGCTCTACACTCCCAACAGTTCACCCTACACTGTACTGTGTGTAACTGGACGTATAAAACGTACCCTGCTGTGCCCTGGCATCGTTTTTACATACTTCTCTTCAAAACTGGACAGTTTAGCCTCTCGTTCGCTCTCTAGAGCCGGTGCTAGGTGTGGAGGTCTGTTGCCGAGTTGCCGAGCGAGCGGCCTGATCAAGGGGTTTCAACAGGGACTGCGTCCCCGTTGGAAGCGTTTTTCTTCATTTGTTTTTTTGCACTGCGCAAAGTTGCAAGTTCGGTCAGGGTCTATGGAATATGACAATAAAGAGCGCTCTTCATTGTCATATTCCATAGGTCAGGGTGCGCAGTCCGCAGACCAGACGCAGGGACAGCAGTGCGCGTGTGTTGTTCGGTACGTGATTAAAGAAAAAATAATTTCAAGAGACAGCGGCGGGTGCCGACAAGAAGACGACAGGGTCCAGCTTTGCACCGCTCAATCAAGACCGTGTTGCGGTGGTTGCCAAACTTCGAAGGTGAGTGTTGTACATCCACGCGGAACACGGAACTACTGTACATACGGGTGCACGCCGTCACCTCGGTGACGCTCGGTGCATTGCATGACATGTGCACTTCTTTTCTCATGCCTTTTCGTGCGCTGTGAATCGTCTCACGCCTCACATGTTACATCTACGAGAGTTGCCTGGTACCACGTACTCCGTACAATTTGTTTGCGGGAGAATTCTGCAAAAATCGTGCCCAATGAAGTTCAATCTCCTTGACCCTGCCAAAACAATAGACTAGATATAAGACGACCTTCAAGGTACCTTATATACAGCTGCAACCTTCCTCGAAGACCGGGCAGATGGTTCAAAGCCGTTCGCGAGGCAGACGGCCCAAAAGGTCGTCGAGTACAAGATTTCGGAATGTTTTTTTTTTTGGTATGCATATCGTGCAAGAACGGAAGGTTTGTTGCTCTTGGGTGCGTTTGGCGACCGTGACACCAGTCCCTCCTGTTAAAACAGCTAAAAAGATGCTCATACTTCGCTCACCTTTGAAGCTGAGTACAGCAGTTCGTGCGTAGACCATTTCCTCGCGGCTGGGTAATAGCGCGGAATCATACTTTCATCTGCTCCTCCTCAATCCAATCCAAGTGATTTCCTTCTCTTCGTGTCCGGTGCTTTGCAAGAAGCACAACTTGCTGGAGACCCAAGGTCGACTTATCACAATTGAGATAGAGAAAATTGGCAGCGACAGTTCCATGCATCCCCAACATACCTACATGTACATTGTAAACATAATCGATTGTCAACATCAAAAGCTCCTTTACCCGTTAGAGTTGTTGTAACAGGAATTTTATAACAATAAATCAATTCTGATAATTCACGAGTAGCCTTAGAGCTTATAACCCACCCCCAATATATGATAATGGTTTTGAAGATGCGGAAAGTCTATGTAGGGCCATTCTAATGTTATCCAAAACTACGTACATACATGTCAAAACGCTTGTCTTTCAGAGAAGCGATTGACAGAACGGCGTCAAAGGGTTGTTTACAGACGAGACATGCGATAGACACAATAACGAGTGATAAGGGCCTGTTTTAACGTTAAAACATTAAATTTGCACCTAAATTGAGGCCCTGCAAAAAATAAGTTTCGGGGGGGTGCCGGGGGCCAAAGACGCTGATTGGTCAACAGGAAAAAACACGATGAGGCTATCTCTGCCCGGAAAAGCGGGACTTCGATACAATTGGGTGCAGCAAAAAACAATTGCAAGTTGAATTGTTTTTTGCTGAATCGAAGTACGCGAGTTGCACCGCGCCCCTTTTGCACCCCCCGTGATGAGCTGAACTCGTACTGGCGTTTCCCCTGACGGGACTGCATGTGGCACACTGGCCATGCGGCACCCACGCGCATCGCCCACTGCCCGCTGCTGGGAAATAGCTGTATTGCAATGAATCTGTGAGCGTGCCAACTTTTCGCGCTGGTTGGGTTGCTGTGGAAGTTGCTTTCCAATATTAAGGAATAATAAAAACACACACATTATGTGCGATGTCAAAAGTCAACGGCCGGTTGTGTGCAGCGAGACAGTCCAAACAAGTTGCAGAGCAAGCCTGAGGATGAGGCTTGGACCGCTGGCACCGGGTACTGATCTTTAGCTTCGTGTGTGTGCTGATATATTTTTACAGCTCCCGTGTGGTGCACATGGTCTATCGCTCTACCTGGTTGGGCCACCACGTCACCTCGCGGCAGCGATTCCGCCGCATTTGGGTGTTGCTGAACTTCGATGTGGCAAAATTGCGTTAAAACGACGCATTGCCAAGCCCTTTTTGGCCAAAAACTCAATTAGGTCCATCCAATTTGGTCCTCAATTTAGGTGCAATATTTTAACGTTAAAACAGGCCCTAAGGTTCACTTCAACGGGTTTTTATCATCCTTTTCCACTTGGAATGTTAAGGCTACGCCAGGCTCCTCACGGATAAAAACGTTGTAAAGAGTAACGAGGGGGGGCGGGGGCGTACTCTTATGTTTTGCATGCCTCACAATGCCTTAGCGGTTAGACCATTGACCACGCGCCCTCGAGAGGACGGAGCATTGTTCCCACAGGACCGATCACCGATCGTTCCTTCTTACTTTGCCAAAGGCGGCTCAAAAATGTCTTCCCTAGTCTATCCATCCTACCGATATCACTTCCCGCCTTTCCAACCCACTTCCTACTCCCCAGTACAGCTAACGTCTTCTCCTGGCTATCCCATGCCTCAAACATCTCCCTGTACTTTTCTTCTACTTTTCTCAGCTCAGTCATGTACGCTTCCCTCTCCTTGTTGTACAGACATTCCGCGACTACATGAACACGGTCTTCGCACTCGGAGCCGCAATCACATTTGAACTTGGCGTGTTCATCGTCTACCTTCCTAAATCATCGGCTACGTTCTCGAAGGCCAATACCCCCGGTCCTGAATTTGACCTTCAGCTTGGTCCCTGCATCCATTGGTCCATGTAGGTAATCCTTGAACCCTACTCCTTCTTTCAACATTCCGTAAACTTCTATGCCCTCCTTATCCTCGGTTTCTTTCCTTAGATTCTGTTCTTCTCTCTCGCCAAAAGCAACAGATATCTTCTCCTTGAACCCTTTAGACCCTCCGTATCCAGCGTATCGTCTTCGTCAATTTCAAACCCTTTCCATACGTCACCTACAACCTTGACCCACTCCGTGGGTTGTCTACCCCTCTTTTTGTTTGCCCACGTCGCCTCCCAGGCTGTTCTCGGCAGCCTCTCCTCTCCCATCCCGCACATGCGATACTGCCATGTTAGCTTCCTTGCGTCTCGTCCCGATCGTAGGGACTGGATCCCCAGTTCTGCCCTAACGGCTGCATTACTTGTGCGCTTGGAGCATCCTAGGATGACTTTCGCTGCGTTCATCTGCGCCACCTCGAGCTCGTTCACTACCTTCTTATTTCCTTCCCATACTTCTCCGGCGTACTCTAGCGGCGGTGCGATCACGCTCTTCAAAACCGTCAATTTGATGCGTGTATCGAAGTGCCGGTTTGCGAGTATTGGGTGCAGCTTCCCTGCTCGTGCTTTGCCCTTATCCGCTACCTTGGACATGTGTGCATTCCACGAACAGTCTTTTGCGATCTGTACTCCGAGGTATGTGTACTGGCCCACTACTGCAATCTCCTCGACCCCCCACTTCCATCTATGTTCTACTGGTTCCTCCCTGTCCTCGTTGCATACCATGACGGTACTCTTCTTAACGTTGGCAGACAATCTCCACTTATCAGCAAACTCCTTGGCGGCATCAATTTGCATTTGCAGTCCCTCAGGGGTGTCAGACACCCCAACAAAGCCATCCGCAAACAGCATTCCCGACACCGTGCTTTCCCCTACCTTACTCCCTTCTCGA